AATGAGCAAAAATTTCTCTCCCCAACTTGAATTCAACCAACATCAAAGTGTGAATACTCCCTACTTTCTAAGGCAAGGTAAAAATTTAAACCAAAAACAATGGTTAAGGGTTCAAGAAAACAAAGAATCAATGTTCATACAAAAAGTAAAACTAAACTCTCATAGACAAGTATTAAGTTCAAAAATAACATGGACATTGACAAAAAGGGTCAAAGAGGGGTTAACAAAAAATTACACACTCACAAGGTCAATTGACTATTTGACTAGGTAGTTGTGCTTAAAATCAAACAAAATATCTTGATCATTTTCATGCTTTCATACAATCAACAAAAATAAAATATTAAACATAATGAAATCCAGTTAAAATAAGAATTGTGGCTTCCAGCATATATGAACAATGGAAAGCTTCCTCACATTTGGGGATAAAAAGGGAACTAAAGTGATTCAAGTTATGAGCAAGTAATGCAAAAAAGAATGAATGGTATGGTAATTATACAAATGAAAAGTTTCCTAAACATGTTACGCTATATAAAGCGATAAACGAGTATCCGACATGTACCAACTTCAAAATATTATCATTACCATACATCCACAATTTGAAACATTCATATTTGGACAACCACCTCAAAATTCTTCAAGTTACCAAACCAAAATTGGAGTCCAAACAACTAAAATTATTAGAGTTTACAACACATACACATTTCCTCAAGCTAATAAAAGAAAGCTCTCGGAAGTTTAAACAAGTTGAAAAATAAAGATTTGAGAATTTAGAACAAGTCCAATTTCAACTTGTTTAAACAATGATCAACACACTACCTAAACTAAAAAAATGAAAAATAATAAAACATGTTTGTTTTATGTCGTAAGCTCGACGCCTGTTATTTAAGAACTTTCCTCCAAGTTGTTTCCACCTTGTTATTCCTAATCAACACACAAGCAAACGTGAAAGGAAACAAACAATGATATAACAAATTCACAAGTATAGAAAATATGTGCAAGTGTGATAAACATAAACAAATAAATTCACAAGTAAACATAAACAAGTTCATGCATAATTTCTATACAACATATACATTAATTACAAAACTCAAAAACAAAGGAATTATCGCGATGCGAAACAATAAACCAATCCCTGACAACAACGCCATTTTGTTGTAGCGGTATAGCGGCAAGCAAAAAGTAAAGTATTATTTTACCGGGTGATATTTAGGTTATCGTGTCCACATAGATTGGTTATCGAGTCACCATTCGACAAATCATTCGTTAATGAGTTTGGGGGTTTGAATGGAAAGGGTAAAAGTTATCAAAATAAAATAAATGTAAACAAAAATAAAAGAAAAGGGAATAACTTATCAAGAATGCATATATACTACTTCTTACAGACTTAAACCTATCGACCAGTTATACTCAACTTACACTAATCGTCAATGTCACCATGTATCACTCACAACCTAAGTCAATTCTAACCTAAATTGAGAGGCATACGGTATCACCTCGGTAGCGATCTCTCAACCACCTTAACAATGCAGAAGTCAACCGTGCTAATTGCGTCGATGATCTCTCAGAGCGACACAACCAACACAAAGACATTAATCACATACACCCAAGCGAATGTCAACTCTAAATATATCTCTAGAATCATAAACTAACAGACTATCATCCTAGATAAAAATTTGAGCAGTATATGTCTATAACAACCCAAATCCCGAGCATAGAGCAAAAATCAAGGACAACAATCGACAAAAATTTATAAAGAAAATTAAATATAACTCCATGGGTGATAAATATACATGAGTTTAAAGTAAGTATATATACAAACCCAACTAAAAGAGAATACACAAAGAAAAAGAGAAATGAACCACAAATCTTTCAGTTTGTCAGCGTTGATCGAAGAGCAATCCACCCTGAATCATCTGTATGCAAGATCCATAGTTGTTATCTAAGCTAATCCACTATAAAAATGAGGTTGATGGAGTTGGGAGATCAAAAACCGCATCCAAAACTGTAACCCTTACAAAAGAAATGAAATAGAAATATATTCAAAAATCTGGTCAGCACGCATCACCCGGCGACATAGAAGCTTCGCCTGACAACGACCATTAAATAGAAGACCCATGTTACGCCACGTACGCAATTTGGGGGAAAATATCTACCTTCGTCCAGTGAAGGGAAGCTTCACCCGACAACATCCTTATTTCTTTCCCAGCGAGCTGATGGCGAGCCCAAGTCAGTGGCTATTGGAAAATTGATCTTTTCCTCTCGCCCCTCTGTCGTCCAGCGAGACAGACGCGAAGGCTCTTCGCCCAGGTTTCGCCCAACGAGGCACACCAGAACAACAACTTTTGTTACTCTTTTTGCACAACTCCAGTGACTTTTCTTCTTTTGCCTTATTCCTTTATTGATCCAACAATGCATCTTGGAGCTTTTATTCCTTTTGCTTCAACAATGCTCTAATACCTACAAAATGAATACAAAACTATTAATCGATACACTATATACACAAAAATGCATTATACACAAAGTAAACGTATTTACACACAAAGTCAAGAATTATTCACAAAATATTAACAAAAACATTGATAAGTGAAATAAAACTTATATACAAAAATAACTACAATTTGCACTTATCAACTGTCGTAGCCTTAGTAAACCTTCCAAACTATGTCCGAGGTGATTGTTTCAATCCATATAATGATTTTAACAACTTACAAACTGAACTGACAGCAACATTATTCTCATATCCAGGTGGAATCTCCATATAAATTTCTCCTTCAAGCTCTCCATGTAAGAATGTATTTTTCACATCAAATTATTGCAACTCCCACCCATAATTGGCAGCAAGGGATAGTATAACTCGAAATGTATTCATCTTTGCCACAAGGGAAAAGGTTTCTGAATAATCAATTACATAGGTTTGTTTGAAACCTTTAGCAACCAGTCTTGCTTTGTACCTCTCAATTGCCCCATCAGTCTTGTATTTTGCTATATACACCCACTTGCAACCAACAGGTTTCTTTCCTTCAGACAAAGCAACCAACTGCCATGTTTTATTCTTCTCTAATGCCTCCGTTTCTATATCCATAGTCTGCTTACAATTTTTATCATATAATGCCTCGAAAATATTAGTGGAAATTTGGATGGTATTTAAGTTTGCAAGAAAGGTTTTATGGGCTTGAGAAATTTTTTTATATGAAACATAATTTGAAAATGGATAAAGTGGTCTTTTTGTATATTATCTAACTCTCTTTCTAATGGAAATTGGTAGGTCATGATTATCTTCAATTGTTGGATTTTGTGTTTCACTTTGTGGAGCTGAAATATCATCTTATAAAATTGAAAAATTAGAATTTGTTACCTCTATTGAAGGGCTTGGATCGATTTCTTGGACATTTGTTGATTCAGCAGTGGCCCTCAACCTTCTACTATACACCAAATTCTTTCCAAACTTATCATTTTCAGCTATGTTTTCAACCACAGATTCATTCTCAATTCTATTTCCAGCCACTACTTCATTTTCAGATTCATGTCCAAATTCATCTTTAACCAATGCCTCATTTTCATATTCATTTGCAACTACTTCTCTTTTTGAATTGAGCTCATGGGAATTTGTTTCAAGATTTAGAAGAATAAGAGTTTCAAGAGTATTATCCTTATCTTCAATAAGATGCCCCCCTTGAAGACAAGGTTGTATGAAGTAGGCATCTCCTTCATGAAATGTAACATCTCGAGACACGAATATTTTTTTTGATGGATGGTGGCAACATTTATATCCTTTTTGAGTAGTAGAGTATCCAACAAAGATACATTTTAGAGTTTTAGGATCAAGTTTTCCTCTACCTTGACGGTGAATATGAACAAATAAGACACATTCAAAAATCCGTGGGACAAGATTATTAGTGGTCGAAATATTCAGATAGAAGGACAAAAGAATATTCATAGGACTCCTTAATTCCAATACTCTAGAGGGTAGTCGGTTAATAAGATATGTTGCTTTCACTTTGGCTAGTCTAAGTTATGGTTGAAAACAGATTCGACAATGGTCATTCTTGCAACTCAAGTCTTACTTTTGCTATGCTATGATTAAAGCTAGAACTATGCCTTAATGTTATGGTTTAATGCTATGGTTAAAGCTAGAACTATAGCTTTTTTCATCACTCACATATATAGGGAAAGAAACCATGGCACGGACAAGTTAGCTTCAAAGGCCTTCCTCTCTGAGCCAATCGTTGTTTGGAACTCATCTCCTTGCTTCCTAGCTTCTTCTTCGTACCATGATAAATTAGGATTGACTAATTATAGATTTTATGGTGTTTAAGTGGATCTTCGTTTAATCCTCCACTCTTTCTTTCTCTCTTTAATAATGTTTTACCTTTATAAAAAACATTGAACCAAATCATTAATGTGGTTTGGTTAAGTAACTACTCATATTTTCTCTCCACCTAATGGTGTCATTGATTTAAGCATTTATTCCCAATCCACCACCTTCAGCACAGAATCCTTTAACATAGAGAATATTTCTATTCCAATATGACTTACTTCCACTGGTGCCTCAATCCAATTTTCTTTTTCTTCCTTTACTAGAATCTTGAAACTTGAAGCACATGTTCAACATGCTTACATAAACTTACAATGTGCGCATATTTCAAATCACACGATGGTGCTATGCATAGCAAAATCGTGTAATTTGAAATTTGCTAACACCAGTGTATTACCAGCATGTAATTGGCAATAAAACAGTTAGTAAAATAAGCCGATACTAAAAGTCGCTTTGATAGGAGAGAAAATCATGTTTGATAGGAGACAAACTATACAAATAAAGCCAAAACTATAATTGGATAAAAGTATAATATCTTTCTATATAAAAAAGTTGGCAGCAGAAGAACAAGCTTTAACTTTGGATTTTCAATCCAAAGAAAATTTATTACTGATACTTATAATGAATTGTAGTAGCATTAGCCAAGAATGTTTTCTCTATAAAATGTCAAATGCACATATTGCAATCACAATGATCGCTTGGTGAACAGACTATGGCAGGTTTTGTCACAAGGATAAGGACAGTCAATAGCTTTAACAACTTGACGATCGGAAAACCAATTTCCAACTGCATTCGCAATCCGCTGCATGATAAATTCGCATGTCATTCCACATGTACTATTTTAGAAACATGAAAAATTTTAATTCCCGCGCATACCGTGTTGTTAAGGAGCGGAGAGTCACTAGCAAACCATGTATCTTGTCTCTCGGATTGACAATGCGTAAAACAAGAGTTTATGTATAATCCCGATTGAGATGTCGTTGAGAAGCCTTTTATATCATTCAGCATTTGATTCCTGAATTCTGATAAAAATAGAGAGATATACTGTAACATGAAAATCACATAATTATCGATAAACATCAATCGCTATGCAAAATTTACGCGATAGTAGAGAGTGTCGCGATTACTTTGGAGGAACTCAATTTGGGTCGAGTTACATTTCGTCTGATTCAATTTACAAGCATTCCAATAACCATGTGGATCGGCTGTAGACGGGGTTAAGCTTTCATACAACTATACAAAACAATGTCAAGGGATTTAGTAAGCAAATAACTAAAAGAAAACTACACGAAAGCGAGTATTTATAAATATTACCTGCCATCCGTCATAAGCTGCGTTCAGCAGAAACAACGGAGTTTGAATATGATCGATCAAGTTTTCGGGAAAGAAGCACTGAAAGAAAACAGCTTAAAATTTTCAAGTTTAGTAATTTCAAGCTGTGAATAGAATGGCATACAGAATTTGAAAATTACCGAAGTTGGATCGAGGTGGTCTAGACAACTGTTTGGCAGATTCTTTTGCACTTCCTACGATTTCAAAGACATCGATGAAATGAAGTTACGTATTTATACAAGTTCTTTAACCCTTATGCAAGCTTCTACAATCTTTTACTTAGACTAAATATTAGTACCTGTAAGCTAACAACGCCTCCGAACATTTTCCTCAACGTGCGTCCACCAGATACATCAGTTCTACATGATCGAACAGATAATAAACTATAACGATGTTTACATTGCAATAGTGTAGGTTTAAGGTCGTATGAAACAACATATGTTACTTACGCGTCAAGAAAAAACCCTGCATCACTCAAACATTTCACTTTGGTAGATTTTTGAAACAAGCTTCCGAATTCGTCACAATGTATTATAGTTGCCAGACCGCCCGCAGAACATCCAGACAGAAGAGCCTGATTTAAAAAAATTTCATCTTTAAGCATCCTTTGACATTAAGGAATGAATAACAAGTTACAATGTTCCAATATGAGAAACCTGTTTCGCGTTCTTCATTCCTTTAGACATTAATTCCTCTATTGCAGCTTGCCATATTTTTTGTCCTCTAAATTGAAGGTTTGCAGCCTGAAAATGGGTATGAATTCACATATCAAACACAATCGTAGATTTAAAAGCATCCTTTCATGCTAACACTAGCTATATCTGTGAAGAAAGAGACGTCTGTGAAATTCCTGACCGATCCACAGGACAAAAGATCGACAGTTAGACCAGCAGATGACACACGTTTGTTAAGTTCTAAAGCATATGTGTTGTCATTCTCTTACTGACCTCATTCTGACTGTCTCCAGCGAAAGATGCACCATCGCAATACCGCACTTTGACTCTATTCCAGTTAAAGAAATCTGTGCACAAAAGAATACAATACAGAACACACAGATTTGAATAACCATATCTTGCAATTTCAAGAACTACCAAACAATATATGATCTAAATCTATGCATGTGAAGTGCAAAAAGAAAGAAAAAAACCAGGATTTTCTTCAGCTTTATTGCTCAATATCCCTGTGAATGGGATTTGCTTTTCCATGTATTTCGTGGAACCGCGACGAGTAGTTTTTCTAAACACACAACTTCTGATGTTGTTACACCATCCTCCTCCCTACGACAAGGTTTTCAAACATGTTCACATTAGTCATCAAAATCTTTTGTTATAGTGAAACCATTGAATTATTCGGGAATTATGATTGAAAATTCGAAATAGTTGAACATAATTTACATACCTCTAAATTAACTAGCCAATTATTTGCACCAGATCCAGATCCAGGATGGAAGTGGTAACCAGGTAATGTTCCATCCAAACATACTAATAAAAAACAACATAAAAAACGTAGTGATCCATATGAATCATGATCGAGTTAAGTTTCAAGCTAAACCAATTCTTATCGAGCCGAGCTGAGACAAATTCGACTGGACTCATTTCCAAACAGACTCTAATTATGTTACTTAAGCGATAAGTAATACTAACATGATAGCATAATGAGGTTACACAGAAAGAAGAAAGAAAACCTGCTCCTTTAGAATCAGCTCCTTGAATAAGAGTGAGTGGAACCAAGAGAGGTTGAGGTTGGGAAGAAGACACTTGACCTGAAACGACATCGTTTTCCAGCATATCCAGAAGAGAAAAACTCTCTATATGAGTCTCAGATCTAATAACTGAGATGATAAAAGAAAACGTTAACATGAGAATCAGCTTCATTATCATTTTTCAGAAGCTTCTTCAACTACACTCTCTTCTTCAAACTGTGTCAAGTTTTTACTGAAAATGTATATATAAATAATGAACAGAAAGTATTGCGGGGATAAACGAAATTTGAGACAATAATGGTCGCACAAAACATTCACGGACTATTACAAACTTGTCGGTCTAATAAACAAATATTTCGTTATAACCTTCATTAAAAAAAAATCCTCCCTATTAAATTATATGACTTTGACCATATAAATTAAAAAATGTGTTTAAAGTTAAAATTTATAGAAAAGAAAAGGAAAACTATGAAAATAAAACTTACTCAAAAAATGAAATAAATAAATAAAAATAAATAAATTAAAGAGTTTATTTGATTCAGTATAAAAAATAATTTATAAAATATTTTTTTATCAATGTATGGAAAAGAAAGTTTGAAATAAATTAAAAAATAGAATAATGAATAATAAAATATCTAAAGAGAAAATGGACATTAATATTTTATTCATATGATATAGATAGAGTAACTCAATGAATTAATTGCGTTAAATTAATATAAATTGTTGATCGATACTTAAATCTTATTTATATTTATGTGTTAATGGAAATAAGCTATTATATTATAAAAAAATTTACAAAATAGTTTATAGCTTAATCGATACCATAAATAAATATTTTTTTACAAATTCATTGTATAACTCTTATGTATACAGTGGAGTTGTTTAATGAATCTGAAAAAAGAAAATTTATTTTTATAATAGTGATAAGAGTAGTAAATAGTAGTATTCATATTTGAAATTTAAATTTTAATCTAAATTTTTTTTTTTGATATTTGATACATATCCAATAAGTTTTAAAAAGAAAATGTTAAATAATTTAAAAAAATAAAAAGTAATTATAATAAAATATAAAATAGAAAATGGATATTAATATTGTCAAAAATAAAATTATTAATTTTTTTACGATTGAATGAGATAGTCCAATTCTTATGTATTAATTAATTAAAATGAATAAGTTATTCGTTAGAGTTGAATATTGACAATATCATTTATTTATATTTATATTAATTTAAATTAATTGTTATATTTATAATTAATCTAAATTGATTGTTATATTTATAACAATTGTTTTACAAAACGATTTCTAATTATCATTATTATAAAATATTCTTTTTTTATATGTTCATTGAATAATAGTAATAAGAGTAATAGTAGTTCTATTCATAGATAAAATTACTTAGAACTTTAAATTTGTCTAAAATAATTTAATATGATACACTTTTGTGTATATTTTTGAGTGGAGCCCACTATTTTAAACCTTTTTTATTTTTTTCTAGATTTTTGAGCAATTAAGAAGGGTTAAAAACTCTCACTATTTTTTTTTTTTATTATTATATTATTATTATTATTATTATTATTATTATTATTATTATTATTATTATTATTATTTATTATTATTATTATTGATTTTTTTTACAATTTAAAAGGAGTTATTTAATAGGATTTTTAATAATTACAGTAATAATTATAATATATTAAATTTTAAAATCATGGAGGTTAAAAACTAATTGGTGTATATTAGCAAACTTATATATATATAATATATTTATAATATATACATAATATAATATATATATATATATATATATATTCTATATATATATATATATATATATATATATATATATATATATATATATATATATATATATATATATATATATATAATATATATATATATATATATATATATATATATATTATTAAATGATTAAGTATTTGACACATATTCAATAAAAAAAGTTTATTAAATGAGAATTAATATTTATTGTGAAAAAAGATAACAAACGATTTTAACCATCAAATTTAATTAGCGTTAAGATTATTAATTCTAAATAAGAACACCTACTTTTTTACTATTATATCTAATATTTAAAATTTTAATAATAGATAACCTTACCATAAATAGTTTTTTATCTGTTATATATATATATATATATATATATATATATATATATATATATATATATATATATATATATATATATATATATATATATATATATATATATATATATAATATATATATATATATATATATATATATTATATATATATATATATATATATATATATATATATATATATATATATATATATATATATATATATATATATATATATATATATATATATATATATATATATATATATATATATATATATATATATATATATATTAAAATTAACATTTTTCTATTTATTTTATTTAGAAATAATAAATAAATAATAAGATTTAAATTCTAGTATAATACTTTCACAATGGTAGTTTTTTTTTAAAATGGTCATAATTGTAGAATTTTTAAAAATAAAAATATTTCAAACTTGTAAATAAATAAATCAACCAAACTAAAATATAAGTAATAATTTCAATTTTCGAATATTTTTAATAAAATTAAAATATAAAATAATGACTCAATAATGTTATTTTTATTTAAAATGGTCACAATAATAAAACTTGCAAAATAAAAATGTCCAAATTTGCAAATAAATAAATAAACTAAATCAAAATATAGATAATAATTTCTAATTCTTTAATATTTTTAATCAATAAAAAATATAGGTGATAAATTAATAATATATTTTTATTTAAATAAAAAATTGATTAAAAATATTAATGAATGTGAAATTATTACCAATATTTTAATTTATTTAATTGAATTATTTAATTGTTTTATTTACAAGTACAATTTTTTATATAAATTTTACAATTGTGACTATTTTAAATAAATTCTACTATTGTCACAAAATTATAATAATTGTGGCGCCTATTATATATTACCAAACTAGAAATTTAAAATTTATTATTTATTTAATTCTTTTAAATGAAATAAATAAAAAGATATTGGTCTTTAATTTATACTAAATATTAGTATTCCAAATAGAAAAATATTTATGGTAAGATTTTTCTTTTTATAAATATTAAATGTAATAGAAAAAATTAATAAAATATTCTTTATATCGAATAAATAAATTTTAAACATAATTAAATCTAGTCATTTATATAACTAATTAAATTTAATCGTTGATATAATTATTTTTCGTTTTTCACAATATACCACTTCTTCTTGAAAACACTCTCTATCCAATCAATTTTAAGTATTACCGTGTTAACCAAATAGTTTGAAAATGATAATCAAATCTTAAATATTAATAAAAAATATATATTTAAAAAATTGATACGAATGCGATATATCAATGCTTTTTAAAAATAATATTTATATTTTAATCTGAAGAAATAATTGACACACATTTCACTCAACTAACTCGATTGATATTTGTTAAATTGAATTAAATGAGTATAAATTATTGATATAAAAAATCTATATCGATAATATTTATTTATATTATAAACAATTTGTGATATAAATAATTGTGATATTTAAATATTAATAATTTTTTAATAAAAAATTACAAAATACTTTATAGTTTAACACATATATTCTTCTATCAATAAATATTATTTTTATAGATTTGTTGAATAATTTAATGTACATGGTTTAGTTATTTAATAAAAAAATTAGATAAAATATTTTTTTGGTCTCTTAAGTTTATCTCGGGATCTTTTATGGTCCCTTATCTTAAAAAAAAGTTCTAAAACGATTTTTTTGATTGTTCAAAAAAGTTCACATTAGTGTTTTTCATCCATTTTTCATTAACCCCGTCAACTTTTACTTGTGTGGCATGTCCATTACTAAATTCCAACGCATTATTTTATTTTCGTTATTATTTATTTTTATCTTAAATAATTTCTAAAATTAAAATAAGGTCAATATTAAAAAATTTCACACCAAGAATCAAACTATGGTTTACAGAGTAGTTGGCCATTGTGTGCTACCACTGAGTCACTTCACATATATTGATTAAGTTTCATTGACAAAACCAAAATCAACAACAATCTTAAAAAAGATAAAAGACTAGAAATTTAATAACAAATTTATTCAATTCAATCAAATGATCTACTCTTAGAGAGAGAATCACAATTTGATTCACTATACTTTCAAAAGTTGTTACAAAATATTACAAATGAATTACAAGAAAATAGTTACTCATGTTTTCAATAACAAAACATATTATCTACCATAGTATTTCAAATCTCTCCAACTCCTTATATGAATCACACAAACACAAGGTGTTCAAAGCTTTTCTCAATCCTCTTAAATACTTCAAAAGGTTTTCCAAATTCATAAAACACAATGATAAAGTTTCTACATTTATCTCTCTAATTTTCCATGAAATTGTCACATGTACATTTTAAAGTTGTTTGTGAAGGGTGATAGAGTTGAAACTCAAATATCTTTAAGAGGCATAAAACTCCACTCATTAATTTTTAAAATAAAAAAGTTATAAATATGTTATATTTTAATATTTTTTATATTAATATAGAATATTATAAATATCATATAATATATTTTAGGTTAATTTAGAGTATCTTAGAGTATCTCCTAATATATTAGAATATCTCTAAGTATCTTAGAGTATCTATATAAAATATTTATGTTCTGGATTGGGTCTGCCCTTGGCCCAAATCACAA